ATTTGCGCAGTAATTTATGTAGCCTTCTTTATACCTTTCCTGCTGGCTTGATCCACCAGTAAGCAGTACAACCGAACTCTCCCATCACGAGGCTTTTTATTAATTATATTAGTAAAAAGACTCATAAAAGTGATTAGATCCCTTTGTACAAGTTGCACCATGGGTCATGCATGTAGCACCTGAAGTCCAAGCCACCCAGCAGTGAGACTGAACAATTATGGCCCCCCGTGAACATGTTAAATGGTTCCCCAGCTGACTGATCTTACCACCATGGAAAAGCATAAAGGACCAGTCTCTCTCCCACAATCACTACCAAATAATGAAAATAAACACTAGATTTTAATAAAATTATCTCCTTCATACAAATCATCACCAGTCTACCTAGGCAAATACAAGACTTGAAGAAATAAATGGGCCACTGAGACACAGCACCTATCCCTGCTTATGAATCAGGATAGGTGTCCTTGAAAAAGTGCCCAGGCTTGGCGCCAAAGCCTCCTAAATTTGCCTCTGGATAGGCCTACGATAGGTGTAGCCCTTGGCTTTAAACATGGACAACTACTATATAGTAACCAAATAAAGCCTAACAACAGAATTTGGTTTAAGAGTTAATTCAATTAAAAAAAAGTTAATTCAAGATCACTTAAAACAAGTAAACAATAGAAGCAAATATTTAACACCAAGGCTAACCACTATGACACCACACAGGAATTGAAACTGAGCCAAGACCGGAAGAAATGGCTCAGTGGAATAAACGCTTCCCTGGATAGCGCAAGGACCTGAGTTCAAATCCCCAGTTCCATAAAAAAAGAAAAAGAAAGAAAGAAAGAAACTGAGCCCAATGATCAGCAGCAATTCATAACTGCTATTACTATTATATGGCCAAACCAAGAAATAGCCAGGATCAGTTAGTAAAGTAAGTTAAGGACCAGGTATAATTTTTTCTTTTTGATGGTGCTGAGGTTGAACTCATGGCCTTATACATGGTGAGCACATGCTGTACCATGGAGCTACACCTCCAGTCCCAGAGTTTAGCCTTGATTGTTTTCAAAAGAGGTGAGTACCTCTGTCCCTACTTCCTTGAGGACAACTGTGGAAACTAGACACACCTGGCTTAGGGGGTAGGCTGTTAGTGGTAGCAAGGCAGGGACTGCCATGAGTAGTATAAAGATCAGAATTAGTGCCTTCTGGCCTTGCCACAAAAGAAGGTGATAAGTTAGAGGTGAAATAGTAAAAGATGATGGATAAAAGAAACCCAATTCCTCTTGCATCACTCCCTGAATTCAATAAGGTTTTTCCAGAGAGATCTTAGAGTGTTACTTTACAATGTGGAAAACATAAGCCACCCTACCAGGGAGATCAAAGTTCAGATTCCAACTCCAGTGATTTCTTAGCATTTATAAACTTAGGAGTTATTTAGTTATTTCCATGCCTCTTGAGTAAAGCTGCAATGTCATCTATATCATACAGTTTATAAATATAAATATATAATAAATAATATAAATATATATTTATATATTTATATAAAAAATATATATAATAAATATAAATAATATAAATGCCTAAAACAAAACAGATCTTTCAATAAATGTAAATTCTATTCCTTCCTTCTCTTCCTAGCATATAGAGAGGAAATTTAAGGGAATGATTCCTTTTGTTTTAAACATCACCCAAGCTTTAAATCTTATTAAGATAAAGAAATTATCCTGGGAGGACTGAAGCTTTGGGCTCTGTCCCTGGTTCAAATGGTAATGAGGATCTGCTTCAACTGCAGGTGGGAGGCAAAAAGAGGAAGGCCCAAGAAAGAGTTTCTCAGCCCAAGCTGCTTTGGCAATGGGTGTACCAGGTGAAAGGCCACCGTGCCATCCCTGCGCAGCGCCAGGGATCACACGAAAGACGCAAGGCTCTGGGAAGATGACAGAAAAGTCACAAGTTTGCTTCTGCATCTGGTTCTTCCTCCTTCATTACCTGACTGCGCATAAAACTTGGAAGCAATGGGGGAGATGGGTAAGCACTTCTGCGTTATGATGACAGCTACTGGTGCTTTCTAGGAAGAATCTCAGAATGAAGCATACGACTCAATGACATGTGCATGTGGGGACAACTTAATGCACACGCACATGCAAGCAGCATACAGTGATGCTTTCAGGCAGCAAACTAATCAGTTTGGAAAGAACTCCGGGGAACACAACATCCGAGTGCCCTTACAAAACTCATGCCTGTACCTTGTATCAGGGACACTAGGGGGCACTAGTATACTAGAGGTGGCAGTTACCTTGCCCCGATCACAAGTTCTGGAACCAATAGCTGGTTCAAACTTTAGACTCATCTCATGCGGAAGAGACTGAAATTCTAGAGTAAGGGTCAGCTGACAGTTCTCAAAGAATGATGTTTCCACAACTTGTAAGTCAGTGAAAATCTAGGAGCATTACAGGAACTATGTCCATAAGCAAAACTAGGATACATGTAATAAACGTTACATATTTCATACTTGTTTTATTGGAAAAACATGCAGCCAAGTTTACTTGGAACTCCCACAGGAACACCAGGTAGAGAATTAAAGCAGAAGATAGCAGCATGCCCCTCTAGAGAGGAAAAGGCCTAGCAAGTAGGATCCTCTGGTGCCTGTATATCCTCGGATAGTCCACCCTTAGCCCTGAAAGTGCTTCCCACACGTACGTACTCATGCAATCTCTATGACAGGACTTAAGTTAGTGAGTACTGTTTGTCCACTAAGACACTGGGGATGACAACAGAAGAAACACACATGTGTGAGCCAAACTGGTATTAAAAACGCTAAACTCTGAATTCTTTCTGGCCACTACCTTCATGTTACCTTCCCACCTTTCCAGGAAGTGAGCACAAGCAGTGTACATTTCTACAATCTGTTTCTAACAGACTGAGCCTGCTCTCAGGATTATGAGTGCCATAGGTCCAACTCCTTGAGATCTCTGAGGATAAAAGCTTACGCATCTCCTATCCTTTTCTCCTATCAAAGTGTGGATCCTTCATTAATTTTCTTAATTTTGAATCCTGGGATTCAAAGACCTTGACCTATCTGGATTAAAATCTCATTTAGTTCACTTGCTAAAATGAATGATGGATAAATTCAGGAAACAAATTAAATCTAAAGCTGTTAGTTATCTCCCACTCTATAGATTCACTGACTATGTCATCTTTTTTTCAAACAGGAAGACTGCACATGCCTCATACTGTCAGGTGCAGAAGACAAATAATAACCTGATGAGCTGGGAAACCAGACACACAGGGAAGAGAAGGGAAGGGTGGTTGATGTTCTTGCACATCTACAAACAGCTGTGGATGGCAAAAACCAAACCCTGGGCCTGTTGCCTCCAGTGAACTAAAAATGTACCACCAGGAAGCAGCCAGACTAAAGCATTTCCTGAACCATGGCATTTCATTCTCTGCTTCTTCAAATGCTTATCTCTGCCATTCTTAGTCTTGTGGCATCTTCTCCACTGTAGGCTCAAACCCTTATGAGTTCCATTCTCTTAGTCTTGTTCCTAACTTGTAGCTACTATGGCAGGGGAAGTTGGCCGAGCACTCATAGGTCCTTCCTTCTGTATACTCTATGACCATATTCTAAAATGTCGGTCAGCCAATGTAGTAAGAATTGCTCATTTATGTCCCACACTGGCTGCAAGTCTTCATTTTACCTCCTCCTGAAATTCTGCAAAGTTTTTTATACCATTCTTTTAGACATGCCTGTCCTTGGGGGTTGGACCATTAAATCCTCTTTTGCTTATGATTTTCCAAATTTTCATTAAATTTTGTCTTTTTCTCTCCTCCAACATTTTCATTGCTCCTCTACCAACACAGTTTCATTTGGTTCTACTCACATAAGATGGACAATCTGTACATGTACACAAACAGGACCTCCTTCTAAGCAGATATATGCACTATGTCGGTGTCCAGCACATGCAGAAAGAGACCACTGTTATGTAAAAAACGGATCAGAGACATCTAATTCACATATTCTCTAAACTGATAGGACCCATGGTGTGTGCAGGGGGGCTTTTCAATAAGGCCAAGAATTTTGAGTATACCTTGTGTGAAATCCCTGGGACCTAATGTGTCTCAATTTCAGAAAATTAGTGTTTGAGAATATTTGCATAATCTTTAATGGCTGAATCTAAAATCTAAAAATGTGAAATGCTCTAAACTCCAAAACTTTCTGAGCATTGTGTATGTTCCCCTTTTTGGATTTTACAGTATTGAAGCTTTTCAAATTATGAATACTTAAGGGCTGGGGAGATAGCTCAGCGATCTAAATGCCTGCCTGGTATGTGCAAGGACCCTGGTTCAATCCCTAGTACCGCATGCCTTGCTGGTCCCTGCTGTGCTGGCCACTGAAACCAGGGGTGGTGGCACATGCCTGTAATCCCAGGGCTGGGGAGGCTGAAACAAGAGGATCATTACCCGTCCAAGTTGTGTAGTGAGACCCTGTACCAAGTAAATAAATAAATAAATGATTTTAAAAATTATGAATGCTTAACCTGTGAAACTTCACTAGGTGACATATCTTACTATAAGTCAAATTTCACCACACTTTCGCACAGGCTGGCAGACTGGGAAGGGTCTGAGGCAACCCTGGTCAAAGCATTCATGTACATTCACTGTACCAAGTGGTTTGCAAAAGTGTTTTTTTTTTTTTCTTTTGTTTTAATGGAACCGGGGATTGACCTTAGGCCCTTGCACTTGCCAGGGAAGCGCTTATTCTACTGAGCCATCTCCCTGGCCCAAAAATGTTTCTTTAAAAAAGAAAAGATTTAGAATCTTCCAAAATGGTAGCCCCTAGTTTTTTTGTTTTTAACTGATTTAATCAAAACAAAGCACTGGTGTGATTATACACAAATGATTACTATGATTATTCAAATACAACACTTGTTACCATCAGTCCTAAATATGAATATATTCTAGCACTTTCACAGTAACTTAAAACCAACATCATTAAAAGGGTCACTGCTGGTGGTACTCACCTTTAATCTGATGGAATTGTTTAACTAGATCTTTTATATCCAGAGAATTATTCCCTGAAAAATAAGTACAGAAATTAAATACAGATACATAAAATTTGCAACTCAGAATGCTTTTTTAAAGCAACAAATATATAATCTAAAACAATAACAAACCTTCTCTAAACAATATAAGCTCTTTAAAATAAACTGCTGCAAACTCCGTGATGTTTGATGGATTGGTTTTGAGAATAGCTCTGCTAACACCCTCAAGCAGAGTCTTGAGGCCATAGGGTACGACAAGTCTGGACTTTGAAATCATTTTGGTAGATGT